CTGCATTCTATTCAATTCTACTCTACTCTGCATTCTATTCTAATCTAGTCTACTCTACTCTGCATTCTATTTTATTCTACTCTACACTACTTTACTCTGCATTCATCTAGTCTACTCTACTCTGCATTCTATTCTACTCTACTTTGTATTCTATTCTATTCTAATCTATTCTACTCTACTCTGCATTCTATTTTATTCTGTTCTATTCTATTCTATTCTATTCTATTCTATTCTATTCTATTCTATTCTTCATTTTCTATTATATTCTATTGTACTCTACATATAAAAAACTAGAAACATCCATTACATGAAACAAATACCCCAAAGGAAGCTGCTTTAAAAATGCCTCAACTTCCCTGCTTCAATAGAGGAGTTCTAATGGCCTTCTTAAAAACAAACAAGTGAGGAACTAGTGGTGTGTTCAGGAGAACGCTGGCCCACCAAAGAAGGGGTCAACAGTTTCGAAGACCCATTTCCTTGATCCCAAGAGAAGAAATACGGAGAGAGCCCACTTAATCAGATCTTGTTGAACAGGCAAGTAGGATTTTGAAGTAAGACAGCTTGAAGGTATCCAGATCTTCAACCGTGCAAGGTTTTAAAAGTAGCAACCAACAGCAGCTTAAACCATACCCAGGACAAGGTAATTGGTGCAAAAAACAGAACGGCACATGGAAACGAGGGAAGAGATGCTGGCAGAGAGAATTGGATAAAGCAGCAGCCCCCAATCTTTCTTGGGGACTGCTGGGGGTGCGGAGAGGGGAACTGAGCTGTGTAAATGTCAGCCCAGCACACGTGTGTATGCAGCCCTTGCACCAGTGGCGGGCTGGCATGTACGCGCAGGCAAGTTGAGCTGCGTACGCACGCTCCAGCCAGTCACTCGCGTGGCCCAATTCTGAATAGGCCGCAGCCCAGAGGTTGGGGACCTCTGAGATAAAGGACTGGGAGTCCTGAGCTGAATAAGGGGCAAGGAAAGAAACTTAGAAAGGATCTGCCCTAATTTATCAGATGGTAAAAAGGGACAGCTGGAAATTTTTACTTTCAGAGTTGCAAGAATTGTAGCTGCGTGGCTGCAAAAGTTCAAGTCCACAGTGAAGGTCCAATTAAATTGATTTATCATGTCTCTATGCAGAAATCTTCTCAACTAACCTGGAGTTAGATAAGAGCCAACAGAATTCAAGGGAGCTTGGACTTCCACCAACACTAATAGGGCAAGCCATAGAATAAAACAGAATAAGGATAGGATAGGATAGGATAGGATAGGATAGAATAGAATAGAATAGAATAGAATAGAATAGAATAGAATAGAATAGAATAGAATGCTTTATTGGCCAAGTGTGATTAGATACACAAGGAATTTGTCTTGATGCAAATTCTCTCAGTGTACATAAAAGAAAAAATACATTTGTCAAGAATCAAGGTGCAACACTTAATGATAGTCATAGGGTACAATAAGCAATCAAATCACACTAGGAAACAGTATAGATATAGATATCTATATCATATAGATCGTAAGGATACAAGCGACAAAGTTACAGTCATACAGTCACAAGTGGGAAGGGATGGGTGATAAGGAGTGATGAGAAGATTAATAGTAATAGTAGTGCAGACTTTGTAAATAGTTGGACACTATTGAGGGAATTACTTGTTTAGCGGAGTGATGGCATTTGGGAAAAATTCCCCTTGTGTCTAGTTGTTCAGGTGTGCAGTGCTCTATAGTGTCGTTTTGAGGGTAGGAGTTGAAACAGTTTATGTCCAGGATGTGAGGGGTCTGTAAATATTTTCACAGCCCTCTTTTTGGCTCATGCAGTAAATATATATAAATTGAGAGCAAACCCCATTCCTTACTAGCACTGATGCTGTTACCTAGTTGGGTAATGAAATGTCTGCAAAAAAACAACAACAACAGCAACCCCAAACTTAGAGGCCTCATTTCAACCCTGAGCTACAAATATTCTCCTTTATCAGTACATCACATGATTTTCTGTTTCTAAAGGTAGCTAGATACTGTGACTGTCATCTAGCATTCACCTGTGTTTCCTTCCCCAAATTTGAATGTCATGAAATGTGGCTTGCTCTGCATCTTTTATCAACAACACATTTGCTTCTGAGGTGTTTTTTTGTTATTACAATGAATGTCGACAGGCTTCTTCTTCCTTAAAAATAGCTCAATAGATTATGTCCCTCTCTATGCATAATGCAGAAGCGTGAATCCCGATGGCTCTAACTACCCCATTCCTTTAAACTGCATGAAATATTTTGAGCCATTGTTGTTGCTTTTAAATCTCTTGAGAGGAAAAATTGTGTAAACGATCTGGGTAGCCAAATTGGAGTTATCAGATGTTTACACATCTGCGCCACACACATATCGGAGACTGTGAACACATCTGTTAAATAAGTATTCTACACATATTTCAAATAACAGATAATCAGAGTTGGAAGGGACCTTGTAGGTCATCTAGTCCAACCCCCTGCCTAAGTAAGAGACCCTTCACCATTTCTGACATAGGGCAGTCCAGTCTCTTCTTCAAAGCTTCCAATGATGAAGCTCCCACAACTTCTGTTCCATTGATTGTTCTGTCAGAAAATTTCTCCTTATTTCCAGGTTAAATCTCTCCTTGTTCAGTTTCCATCCATTATTCCTTGTTTGGCCTTCGGGTGCTTTAGAAAATAGCTTGACCCCCCCTCCTCTCTGTGGCAGCCCCTCAAATATTGCAAAACTGCTATCATGTCTCCCCTGGTCCTTCTCTTCACTAGACTAGCCAGGCCCAGTTCCTGTTCTACAGATACACTATTAAATAAATATTCTACACATACACTATTAAATAAGTGTTCTACGCACAGCCAAAACTGTT